ATCATTTATGCTCATGGGGTTCGGTCCGGTTCAGTCTGTTCATTCTGCTGGCGCTGCTGCCCCTCACCTTGCTGAGTATGTTCAACCCGTTGCCTCCTTGGCTAAACTTGACTCCGCCGAATGACCTTATTCCTGATCCTTACTTCATAGCTTTCCTCTTCATTACGACCTGCATTTAATCCCCTCCTACATGTCAGTGCTCGGAATCGATTGCACTCGTACTTCGTCTCCCGATGCTAGAGGTGGGAGCTGCCTTGGTGCACGGCCATGATACCTTTTTGTCGCAGCATTCTTTTGCGTAGACGGTTTTGCAGGAAGGCATTCGAATTTATTTCTGCCTGTACTAGAGCCTTAGATGCCGGTAGCAGCGTCCTTGTTCTGCGACTGGATAAGTGTCGGCCGGATCTTTTCCCTAGATTATTGTACATTTATTAGCAATTGTGATAGACCGTTAGGTCTATGATCCAAGAAAGTATAAAGGTTGCTCTTCTCTTGCATCATTTTTTTGCATAGGCAACTTAAAAGTCAAAGTACTAGAAGCGCTGGTTTGCTTTTCGGTACAAGAAACAGGACTCTCGTTAGGCAAAAGTTTATTTTCATCCTTGGAAACTAACCTGACCTGACTTAACAGACCTTGAGCTGGACTTGTCCAAATTTCAGCGGTTGGGGTGTCTCGCATTCTAGGCAACATGCTGTAAAAATCCTCGTGGGTCTGCTTGTTCTTGGTAAACATTTTCTTTGCTTCCTTGACCGCTGATTCAAGCTTTCCGTTTGGTTGGCTATGATACTGGCTTGTGAGTCGATGCAAAAAATCTCACTTCTTGCTGAAATCGCAAACTTCTGCGCTATTATATTGAGAGCTGAATTTGGATATCACCTCTGATTTTCCATGTCGAGGAGATTGGCGCCGTAGCTTGTTCACGACGACTTGCGCAGTGGTCGTAATTGAGGCATCAATCTCGAAGCAGTCGCTGAAATGATTGAACACGATCAATTAATTCTTCCTTTCATGAATGAAAATGTCCAAAGCAACTTTCTGCCGTGACGCCTCCGGGACTTCGCGAAGCATCATGAGTTCCTTTGGTTCGCGCATCTCATGTGTTCAGCATGCTAACCAGTTTGTGACATAATTCCGTACTTTGCTGGTCATCTTGGGCCAAAACCTTTGTCTTCGAGCTCTCGCTACTCAGTTGTTGACTCCCTTGTGATTGCAGTGTACAAGATTCAGAATGGAAGGCGGCTTTGTCGTTGGAACGGTTATACGGTTACCTTTAAATATTAATCCGTTTGAACGTGTTCGTCCCGAAAGTGAAAGAACGGTATCCTTTCTTTCCGCAGCTTCTTTTGTCTTCGAGTCGACCGTTCAATATTGTTTCCTTGAGTAGTTTACACAGCTCATCTTCCGTGCAACGTAGTAGTTCGAAGTAATTTGGAACACTGGTAGCCCGGGTTGGTTGCTCACCTGTTGCCACCTCGCATGGTTGTGAAACGTATGCCATCCCTTTATCAAACTCGGAGAAACGATCAACAGGTGAACGTAATAGTTGCTGGAAATCTGTTGCAGTAGCCAGCTGTTTTTCATGGACAAAGTCAGGGTCTGCATTCCGATACCGTCTGGAAGATACGCTTTCCATAGTGGCATCAATGTGCATCTTTGATTCCGGCTGATGGACGATTTCCAAGTCATAATTCTAGAGACAAATCAGCATTTACTTCAGGCAACGTGGAACGACGTGAAGTGGTTTTTATTTTCTGTAGACGTCGCTGGCCGTATGTATAATCATTGGAGCGCACCACGGCATAAACCAACACAAGCATTTCTTTTTCGATTTGTGCATAACGACTTTCGGATGCGGAAATCATTGGATTTCCCCTTCTGCATTAGTACCTTACCGATTCCGTACTGGTTACTGTCACTGGATCTCAGGCGGAAGCGATGGATCATATTTAGCCAGATTTGGGGCCTGTGATCCACTGTTTAATCTGCTTTGCATTCTACTGCCAATTCTATCAGTATCCGAATAGGAATCAGCAGTTCAGCTAGCCAGGAGCAAGTGGGGGCTCAGATATTTCACTGCCTCGTTTAGCCTGCTGATAGCTTTCACATCAGCCGGATGCGGCATTCGTTTATGGCCCTGATTTTATCTGGATCTGGCTTCAGTACTTCCGAACGCAATACATGCCCATGGAAAACCACTTCCGTTTTGCGCAATCGTTCTTACGTTTTGGTTCAGTGTTCCTATCTGCGCAACGCTGTAGGAGTCTGAGTAGGTTACAGTCATGCTCCTCTCGAGTGCCGCTAAAAGCTAGCGCATCACCACTACACAGTGCTCCAGGTGTGTAACCTTTCGCTGGCGTCAACCGTTTCTGACAAATCTCACTGGACATTTTCAAGCCAAAGAGTAAGCACAGCTATCAGTGACGTCCAAAAGGCGTTCCAAATCTGGTCAAATAACTAGACTGTACATCAAGTGAAACGCGCCAAAGAGCGGAAGCGAGTTCAGCTTTGCCTTAGATAACACCGACAGAACATCATATGGTGTGGGTAGGGTGTGATAATCTCTTCCGAGCGCGGCGTTAAACGGTCTAGTATCGATGCATGCGCGTAAATCACCTGACTTTTTAGTGAATATCGCAACTTAATTAGCCAAATCCATCAGTCCATCAACCTCGGCTGAAACACCTAAACGGACCAAGCGCTGCAGAGTGTCTGAGAACTTTTTACGCAAAGCAGTAGCGTTTTTCCAGCTAACAGTGTTACTGGTCGCGCGGACTCTTTCAGTGTCAGATGGGCGTCTCCTTCGAACTTGCCCAAGACACCGTCAAGTACGCTAAGATACTGGTGAAAGACATCTGTGCTGGCTTTACATAAATGAAAAAACGATCATTGTAAAAGGAGACAAAATCACAAATGCTGAATGGAATCCGTGTCCAGAGTAATCACAAAGTCTGCGGATGCCACGAGCAATTCGGGCAAACGTTCTGACCCTGTTTTGAAGGTTAGGACCTTCACCGTGACGCAGCTCTCCAGTTGTAACTTTGAGCCATTCCAGGTTCTGAGCCAGGATTTTGCTTTGTGGCATTCTGCTCCAGGATAGTATTTTTGTGGCAGTATGTTTATACTGTTTCCAGTATTCAGCTGATAACCCACTGACTGTCCTTGAATGAGCAACGTCGCAAACATACAGACTTGCTGTTCCCCTTGTAACTAATTGATTGGCGGTTCTTGCGGCAGCGATGTGCTAAATGGTTCTCTTTGAAACACTTCATACAAATTCTGTCCCATGCTAAACAGTCCTTTCGTTTTGGATGCTCACGACCACAAAATTGATAAGTGGGTTTCTGTCTATCCGTTGTCTGCGACAAACCTCGGTTTGAGGCTAGTGCACAGAGCTCCGTCGCTGTCACTATTCTGAACGGTTAAAGCCGTTTGGCTGTCCTTGTTTTTCTAAGACAGATGTCGATGCACTATTCCAAAGCCGTCTTCACGCCGCAAAAGGTGTTTCGTCTGCTGTTCATTTCTTATTCCAATCATGACCGCATTACGCACAAGAGAATACCGCAAACAATCGCAAAAATTACAAACCATAAAAACAAATATCTTTGGTTTGTTTCATTTGTTCGACTTTCGCAAATCTCGCCGAAGCTGCGCACTACCTAATGCAGCTCGACTTACTGATCGCATTCACTGAGGCTCGTTGTTTTCAGTGCCTTCCTCGCTTCATCACCAACGGCTTGCCTGAATATGGCCATTTGGTAGTCCATTGGCTGTTCATCCAACTAAGTCAACGTCACGAAGTCTAGCCACTTGGACTTCCATATTCTCCGATTGTCAGACAGTGCGCTTTCGGTCATCTACAGTGGTGTTGGCAATGAGATCACCGTCTGTCCACCAAAAGCATGCCGGATTCGGCGTGTTAGCTTCTCTGACGCCATGTTGTGGTAGCCCTCCGAGGATCAAAACGGCAAATGGGCAACGATTACAAATCAATTATTAAACTACAACGTATCATTTTATACATTACTTAAATTTTAATCAGTTTCATTGAAACGCACACCGTAGATAGTTCTTGCTATCCTTCTGTTTGACTTCATTAACTTGCGCTCATCGTTTCTCTGCAGTTGTTCGGATCACTCCTATCTCGACTGGCACAACGCAACGTTTTGTTCACAATACCCTAACCCCGTTCTGTTCGGTTCACTCGGTTCTTGCAGATGTGAGAAGCTTGTACCAGCGACGCTGATTGACTTTCCATCTACCGACTATGGCTGATCGATCAGCTGCCATCGCATTATGCGCCATCCGCTCCGGGTCAGTGTCGCATACGGGCGATTCGCTTGCTCTCGTCCGGGCAAAGCCATCAACACTACGCCGGTATGCAGTACCGACGCCTCGCTGCCGCGCAACCACCGTTGGTCGCACGTGAGCTAAGGATACTACGAGTGTCACCCGGTCCCTATTCAGCCTGAAATTCACGCCGTTGTGATCCTTAAGACTATGGGACCAAAAGTGTGCCTGTCTCACAACACTGCAACCCAGTTCCGAACTGCTAATCCATCTCGTCTAAGCGTTGTTACCTTGCTCTGGCGGCGCTTATTAGCTGTCTAGTCCACGGGTCGCGCGTCGGTTTCGCTCGCGTGACTTACCAGCTTCCATCACAGATGGATCGTTTTCATCCCATTTGCTTTCATACTAGTGTTGACACAATTGTGCAATGTCCGCATTGCTCTGGCATTTAGCTTGGAGTCGTGCCCGCTTTTACATGGCCAGCGCGACCATCAACTTTACTTAAAGCCGTCAACTTTGCTTTCACTGTGCTAAATTTACTGCTCGATGTTTTGTCAGCGGATTGTTTTTTCTGCTCCGACCCGAAGTCGTTCGATTATCGATGTAGCGTCATGCGAAGACTATCATGCTGTTTTGATCTACTGTCGCACGTCTTGTGGTGATTTAAGAATCTTTCTGTCAGTACCACTCTCATTTTCTGTTTCTTCTACAGGCCGAAAGATCAGAGCAGCAAAATCGCTCTGCATTATCGGAGTTCCCGAGCGTTTTGGACGTCTTGTCATTTTGTTTTGTTCCTACTGCATTTATCAGTGGTCCTCAGGTAAGCGGTTGCATTCATCCTCAAATGCATATACGTATATATATATATATATATATATATATATATATATATATATATATATATATATATGGTTGGCGGCATCCGGTTTCGGATTTGCCTGTCACTGTGGCAAGCCACAGGACGCCTGCGCCTACAGAGGGACCATGGATCGCTTGCGCTGCACCACCCACAGCTCCACCCACACACCCCATATCCAGTGTAAACCCGAAGGAATAAGACCGGGAGGCATGCGGATGGGAACCACGTTTCATCAACGGAGCCGGCCCACGCTCCTTCAA